ATCAGTCACAAAAGAAATTGTCTAGGAATGTATGTAGACAACTCCATGTCATGATCTATATAAATTTTTTCAATTGGTTTAGATTTTAGTGTAGGACTCATTTCATTGGTTAATCACAGTAAACCCACAAGCATAATTTTAATTTTGTGTTTTTTTGTCTTCTTTCTTTTTCAAAAAAAAAAACATATTCTGCTTTTGCAATTAATCATTCACTCACCAGTAATTTACCATTGCTGAGGAGACACATTTGTAGTGTTGAAATATGATTGCTATTGTGTAGTGATTTTTAACCTGTTTTTGTTTTAATCTCCAATTTTATATATATATATATATATATATATATATATATAGGAGGCACGTTGGAGTAATGGATAGCGGCTTGGATTGAGGAATCATGAGCCGAGTTTGAATTCAATCCAGATCCATTACATTCACTTACGTGCTAATACTCTTCAGGAAAGGTATGAATCCTCTTCCTCTCCCTCCAGCTATGGGTAAAATAGCAGGACAGACTGGGTTCTATAGCCTTGGATGGCAACTGGTCTAGGAGAAGGACAACTCTGAATTCAAAAACCTGCGGAGGGTCGTTTGGGAACCTTGTGGCATTCAGTGCACCAGGTCTCTGTATTCGTCCCTTCAAAAAGTGTGGATGGTCCTGCACGAGGCCTGTAATCAAATCTCATGTGCCGGTGTCAGCTGTCGGTTTCCTGGAAACTGATCTGTTTGACCCTCATACGTCGAATCTCGACGGGAGAGTCGATTATATATAAAAACCTTACTTTTAGTGGATACATGTAATTGAGTAGATGAAAAGTTTATTTTAAACAGTATTTTGTCTACCAGCATGAACATTTGATAAAAGTTATTAAAGAAAATGTACTTGATGTTTTCTCAAATACTTAGGCCAGTAGAGTAAATAAAATACTGTTTAAAAAAAATAAATAAATAAATAAATAAACACGCCTACTCAAATACATGTACACACACACACAAAGGAATAAGAGTAAATTACAAGAGTGAAAATTGCATTGCAATATTTCTTTCAGCATACTTAAAATCTGTCTTCAATGTTTTAATATAGGTACCTCCACTTTTTTTTGCTGAAAAAACAGCATGGCATGATGGAAAAAGGACGCAAACTTCATAAAAACAAAGTTTTATTGTCAAAATGTTTATGTTGTTATTAAGAGGAAAAAAACAAAGTATTATTTTATTAAATTCTTTAATCCTTTCTAGCACATTCAAAATTTTAGGTAAAAATAATTTTTTTTTTTTTTTTTTTTTATTAGGGGTAACATAATATTTATGATTAGTGTTTTAGCACTTTTTTCCAGTGAGAAACACACTGATTTGGAAATTCTTGCAAAAATCAATTATCAGATTTTAATGAAACATTCAGAATTTACTCACAAATGAATGAAATTATTTTTGTTTTTAAAAAATATTGGTAACTTTTTTTTTTTTTTTTACATGTTAACCCAAATTACTTAATTTTATGAAATTTCAAGAAATCAAATTTTCAGCACAAAATATTTTTATTAGTTAAAAGCAGGACTTCTTTGAGAATGTAAACAATTTTTTTTATCAAACTGCTACTCATCGCAAAATTAAAAATGCAATAAAAATGACATTATTTAATTTGAAAAACTTAATTGCTTTTATAAATATTTATTAATGACACTATTGTCTTAAGAAAAAAATTTTTTCAATGAATAATGAATTTTTACAAGAATTGTTTTCATTTTTTTTATTTGAAATAATTTATTATAATTTTTTTACTCTTAAAATTCTACCTCAGTTTACGCTTGTTAAGTGATATTGTTATTAAATGAAAACTATATTTATTAATCAAAAGTTGAAAAGCTTAATACAAATCATTTTGCACAAAGATTTCTAAAATAATTAAAAAATTTTTCACGTACATAAAATATTATGTAACATGACCATTTTTGAAAGTATAGTCAACCATACAGCATCAAAAAATAAGAGTGATGACTAAAGTAAATTTAAATTCAACATCCCTAAAATTAGATTATAGAGAATATTTCCCAAGATTTCTAAGATAACATAGTACTTAAAAATTATATAAAAAAGGTGCTCACATCATTTTCTTAAATTATGTTTTTCAGATAAAGTCTCTGCAGAACAACAATAAAATTGTCAACACATGTCAATCACATAAACATGGCTAAACATGTCAGTTAAAAAAAAACAAAAAAAAAAAAAAAAACAGCTACTGTTTTTTTTAAAAATGCATTTCTGTGTTATTTTCAACTTAAATGTTTGTTTTAAATCAGATTAATTATACTTTAAATCAGCTTAATATTCCTCAAAGTTTCAGTAAAGTATATTTTATTTTTGGAAGATTTTTTATACAGAGAATTAAAGATGACTAAAAAAAGGGCACTAATCAGCTATTTTAGAAAAAAAAAAAAAAAAAAAGAAAAAAAAATCGATTCCAATCAATATAATTTCTGTAATCCTTTAGCTTTCAATTAAAAGCTAAAATGAAAACTTTTTCATTTATAAAAAATTCATTTTAAATTTTAGGTGTCACAAATTAGTGGAGGTAACTATTTTTATATAAACCGTAGGCAGCATTTATTATATTTTTTATCTATGTTGCATTTATTTTATCAATCATCCTGTTACTTGATCTGAACAAAATTCATCCCAATACAGTTTATTTACTCACTATATGGGGGTGTTGAAAAGTTTTAGGCCCAACTATAAAGCCATTGCAAGAAATAAAATTATATATATGCATGTCATTTTAACAATTTTTGTAAAGTTGATTGGGCCAAGAACTTCTATACCCTCCTCTCATATAGGCATGGTAGGTGCTCTTAACTTCATAGCAACTTAACATGCAAGGTGTAACAAAAAACCAACAGAAACTGTTCCAGTCTCACCAGACACATGAAAACCCATGAGCAAGTGGGACAGACTTTACAGAACAGGTCAGGCCCTGTATAAAACAACTTTGTTTGCATTACTTATTGCAGATGTGGATCTGCAATAAGTAATGCAAATCACTTGCAGGTTTAAAGAGTCATTGTCGTTCACACAAGAACCATGAACATTGGTCAAACTTGTCAGTGAGAGTCATGCCTGTTAATGAATGAACAGCTATTATGATCGTTGCCCAATAATTTTTTTTAAAACTTATGTTTTTTTTTTTTGTTTTTTTTTTTGATTCTGTAAACAACTTTTCAGTTCAGCTTCTGACTTATGCTACTTTCCACGCTTAAATCAGATTATGTTTTGTTTATGGTTGGATGAGATGATTCCCACTATATTTCTTGCATTGAGTATTCATATGCAAGGTCTGAGTAGGTTTTGATTTGAAAAAACTGTGTTACAAATTCCACAATAATAATAGATAACCCTTTCATAAGCAAGCATCTAAGATCATCTCTTATCTAATGACTGACAATACTCAGTTTTAGAATTACATCCATTCTGAAGGAGACTGGATGATAAAAGACAATTATATATATATATATATATATATATATATATATATATATATAAGAGAGAGAGAGTTGTTTGATGATCACAAATAGTGTGAAACCCAGGGTCAAACTCACATCAGTCCAACTAAAAATGTTAACTGATATTGAGCACTTTCAAATAAATGTCACATATATATATATATATATATATATATATATATGCATGTTTCATTAAAAACGACAGACAAGGTACTACGGTTGAGTTTTTTATTTAATTTTTCTTGTATCAGTGTGTGGTAGGGATGTTTTTAATTTCCGAATACGGTTAGCACATTGTGGCTTTGTTCAAAGTTAATATTGTTAAGAGTTGGCTTTTTCTTTGATACATACACAGAACGCACACACTCAACTAAGCTGAAAATCGAATCATCCTTGATAATGGCTAAAGGTATAGCCGAAAGCACTCGGAAATATAAAAAATTCGGACAGTTCTTACGCACCCTTTGTCCAGAAAAGAAAGCTCTTGTCAGAACACAAGAAAAATTAAATAAAAAGCTCAACCGTAGTACCTTGTCTGTTTTTTTTTAATGAAACATGCATAAAGGAAGGATTGCTGCCTAAATATACAACTATATATGTGTGTGTGTGTGTGTGTGTGTTTCACATTTTCAAACCACTTTCCTTCATTTTCCTTGCCCAAAAGTATCTTTTGTGAGAGTACTTGCTTTTTATTTTTTTGGTAAGAGGGAGAAAGGGGCAAAAGTATAGCAGAATATCTGGGAGAAGAGGAAAAACTTATCACACAACAAACTGGGTGATCTCAGAAAAACCAGGAAGGATCAAGCCCATCAACTTACCTTACAAATGTAACAGGTAAATTTCTGACTATTGATGGAGATATTTTCTTCATCACAGCATGTTCTGTGAAACACTCGCCAGCAGCCATCGCACAATACAACATCGCCAGGTCCATGGCATTCAAAACAATACCAATCATGGCCATCATTCACCTGCACAAACAAAAGTAGTACAAGGTTAAAAAAAAAAAAAATATATTATTCATTAATAATGCAGTAAGTATGGAAAGAGAAAGAAAAACAAAAACAGGTATTCACTGTGTTTTAGAGAGAAAGAAAGTTAAATTAAAATGTTCATTTATATTACCCTTGCTCTAAGTTTTGTGTTGAGATATCCACTCACCAGGGAATTTGATTATTAATTTGAATTAATATTAATTCTCTATTTCATGATATTGAACATTCTAATAACAAAAACTACTTGCCTTAAAAATGTTATCTTCCAGAAATACCCTGGATCAACCATCATTTTTTTTTTTTTTTTTTTTGAGTGAGGGGAAGTAAACCAGTCTTATAATGAATAACTGGTATTAGAATGTGAGGTGGCAAGAAAGAAGGTAATTGCTAATTTTTTCAGTGGTTTTAGAATGCTTCATAAGACATTTATTTGGGTCTTATTTCTAAGTAATTTACTTGCTAATCTCTACATATTTTTCTCATTTGATTTCAGATAATTGTCCTAATTTACATGAGATGTCATTAAAAAAAATTATCATATACAGTGGAACCTCAGTTCATGAATTTAATTCGTTCCTGAAGGCCGTTCATAAACTGAAACTATCTTTCCAATAGGAATCAATGCACAGAAAAAAGTTACAGTACAATAAAATTGGAAAAGAAAAGCATGGCACAATACACAAATGTATACAACATGGCAGACAACTTAGAAATTATTCCGTTCATGTGAACTCAGTTTGGCTATGCTGTTCAAGAACTGTTGTCGGAAACCTACCACCCCTCTTGAAGATGAACTTGTCTGCGAGCAAAGACGTTTAAATAGTGGCATGTCAAAAGACAGAGAGAGTCGGAGCAGTTCTTAGCTGAGCTAGTTATTGACTACTCAGGCAATTTCTGTACCTATTTACCAACCTATTAAAACCCTTTTTATTGTTACGTGTTATTTGGTGTTTGTCTCTACTAACCCCAAATCAACATAACAAGAACCAAGACATTTCTAACTCAAATTTTCTGTTTGAAAACCAATTTGCTTGACATGTGAGAACTGAGGTTCCTCTGTATAGGTAATAATAATATCAAGAAATTTTCAGTTTTCCTATTTGAAATTTCTGATGAATCTTAATTCTTAAGTCAATCATTGAACAAGTTCTCTGACAATAAAATATCTGTAGAAATTCCATTGTACGTATTGTTAAATATTTGAGCATAATTAAGCAAAACATTGGAATAACAATCAAATATGAATGCTGGTCCATATTTTAAGAAGTGGGTACAAATGAAAAGATTTGAAATTGACAACTTTTTCCATTTCACTGAAACAGCCATTAAACATTTCTATCTTCCCTTCTTTTCTTTCATTCATTTTCTCACTGTGTCTTTGAGATCAAAACGGAATACTCCATTATTTATAAGGTATTAGCAAGAGACATTAAACATTTTCTTTGTAACCAAGTAGCGACTGATATGTCTTGCCTCTCCATATTATCAAAACAGAATAGTCCATTACTTACAAGGTATTTGCAGGGCATAACAAACTAATGAAGGGAGGGACAGGCATAATTATAAGATAGGTAATCATAAATCATATACATGTAATTTATTTAAAAATAAAATTACATCTAATTATTTATAATGTTGCAGTGATTTCAGTCCAAGGTCACAGGTAAGATTTATTTATTTATTCAAAATAGCTTTAAAGTTTTAAGTTTAGAAATATTTTTCATATTCTTTCTCCAAGATTTCAGCAGTTATTTTTTTCTCATTTGTAGGTAAGGGAATACTTGGAAATAGGTGTGGCCACATTCGTTTCTGTATACTCAACTTTTGACACTCGAGTTGTTTGATATACTGGCAATATATACTCTTTCTCTCAAGTTTTTTTTTTTTCTCTTCCTAGTTTCACTGTAGTTTTCTTTACATGAATTCTATATATTTACATACATTAAGTTTCTAGTGTGTGTGTGTGTGTGTGTGTGTGTGCGCATAAAACAAAATACACACACAGACTTCAGTGAAAAAAAAAAAAAAAAAAAAAAAAAAAAAAAAAAACATTAATTTGCCACACCTGGATAGCCAAAGTATAAGTTAATAATCATAAACACTGTTACCAAGCCGTACTTAGAAACAGGTTTGCTGTTATATATCATGTTTTTGAGATAACAGAGAAAAATAAATAAGAAAGACAAACTTGCAGGTAAGTAATGAAATAGAAGGTTTACTACACAAAGCAACTGACTTAATGCTAACTCTCCTTAACTCTACTTATAAACGGACAATTCCATCCATTTATGCCCTATATGACATCCCCCATTAAACATAATAAATACCTTGGACAAAACTATTAGGTAACTTCTACCCATTCATCCTGCAGACATGCACCCCCCCCAAACCAACTACAGCAGGCTGCACTCTAACATAAGATAGTTTTTTGCTAAAGAGGTTGGTTTTGAGTGACAGTATTTATTTTTCTTTTGTCAACACACCAGCCTGATGCTGCTTCTGCACTTTCTTGATTGCCACCATTGCATCAGTCCAGGGCTACTGATTCACTCTCCTGATCATATATTAAGGGTCTGGAGGTGACTCCCTTTGGTCTGAAAATCTTTGATCTTTTTCGGCATTTTCATATTAATTTTATTAATCTACTTTTCTGTGATGGCATAGAGCAACTTGGAAGAAGGTGTCATACCCTGATACCAAAGTTCTAAAGATTTATACACAAGCAGGTTTTAAAAGTGGATTTACTACTGCCAGATATTAAATTTATACCCACATGATAGCTTTTATAGCAGAGATTATTTTCAACACATACTGCTTGCATTATGGATATGGAACCTCAATTTTTTTTTTTTAATCAATTCACTCCAAGTAAGGTAATAATGCCATTAAGATGCAAGGGTGGTACTGAAAGTGAAAGAATAAAAAAGACTTTAGAAGGAACCGGAAACCCAGTCTTAAACAGGAACCTCTACTCCTGTTCAAAATACTGGGGAGGAGTGTGAACCAGATGATCAATAACATTATCTATTCCTCTTGAGGGGAAAAAAAAAAATAGATAAAATTTCAGCATTTAAGTGGAGACATTAGAAGTATGGAGTTGAATAGACATACTGTGTGTGTGCATGTGTATCTAATCCCCTGATGAGCAAATATCATCTACAAAACTGTGTCAAGAACATAAGCTTTGAACATTTCATTTTATTTCTTTACTATTAACTAGCAGTAGAGCCCGACGTTGCCTGGGGATGTAACAGTAAGAGATAGATCAAGTATCGACCATCATAAAGACTGAAAAATAAAATTGACAAAGATTATTGTTTAAGGTTGACAAACACACATGTCTTTTTTTTTTTTTTTAACAAATCGGTCAAACCCAAAACAAAAACATTGTTTTCAATCGTTATGAGTTTATCAATTGAATAGAATTTTATTATAAACAATTTTCTTGTAAATGGAATTTTTAAAGCATTCTGAATGTAAAAATAAAGAAAAAGTGTGCAAGACAATAAGAAACACTACCTGCCAAAAAAAAAAAAAAAAAAAAAAAAATGAAGTTTTGTTGAAATCGGTTGAAAAATGTAGGAGATCCGATCCCATATATAAACGAACACACACACAACCTGGGTTTTATAAGTATAACTCGATATGAGTTGTCCACCTTTCATTCTGGTGACAGAATCGTGTTTTCAAATTGTTTTTCCAATTTTTGGCGCTGTCAGAACCACCGCAAGGTAATTTTATGCAGTTCTGTAAAGTTTTGTTGAAATCGGTTGAAAAATGTAGGAAATCCGATCCAATATATAAACGTACAGACACACACACACACAATCTGTGTTTTATAATAAGTAAGATGTTCTATTTTTTATAACAAAGCACATTACTTATAAAGAGTAATTGCCTTAAAAGTGTTATGCTCCAGAAATACACTGGCCAAATTTCTTTCCATCCTTCTCACCTCCTCCTCCTATCCTCTTTCAACACACTTTGTTATTATTAGATAATTTGTCAAAAAAAATCCAGTTGGTTATCAAAATTTTACTGACAAACTCATTTAACCATATTAAATCATATATAGTTGTAGCAAACTTATTTCTAAGTACAGCTTGGTACTAATGTTAATTATGACTATCCTTTACCTATCCAGATGTGACATAATATCTGGTTTAATGTCTGGTTTTCTTTTATTTGACTATGTGTGCCTAGCATAACAGCTCTGAAATAGAAACCGGTGAGCCGTCAAAATTCCAGTCAAGTTTGTTACAGTCACTTACACAAAAATACTTATATGAAACCTATGAATCCATCTCTTCTAGCCTCCAGCTATGGATTAAATGCCAGCGCAAATTGGATTCTATAGCCATGGTTAGTGCCCAGTCTAAGAGAAAAACAACTGAATTAAAAAAACAAAAACATATGTAACCAGGATTTAGGCACATACTATACAGTTATTGAAAAAATTATAGAATTCCCAGTTACCAGTGGCACAGGGCTGTGGACTATGATCTCAACCGAGGTCAAAAAGCAAATTAATAATTGCAGATGCAAAGCTATAAAACACTACCTATTCAATACTAAATATATTGTTTCATTAGATAGTTACAGTTATTACAAGCTAATGGAGAAACATATTTAGACAAATATATATCTCAAAAGTCTTTGTACAAATTATTAGTTAAACCTGTATTTTGTATTCCCAGACATAATCAACTAGTAATGGTAATATTAGCCATTTTCCTACAAGGAAACATTTGACATTCATTGACAGCCAATAATTTTCAGTTGAAATTTATAAAATCTTTCTCTTAAAAAATACATTTTTTTTTTTTTAAGGTAAACAGGCTTCTCCAGTCCAGTAGATTTTATTGCACTTTCCAGTACTGAAGAGGGCTTCATTCTAAACCTTCTATTTAAAGTGGTATGGAATGTTAACATCTTGATTATGTCAATATTTTCTCCTCAAGTTACATGTACCATCCATTTTAGTTGTCTCTGCTGTTGCTAGTCCTAAAGTGATGTGGTACAGTTTTTTGTGATTCTATTTTGCCAGTTTGCAATGTTCAAAGGATGACCATTCTCAAGACCATTCTCAAGACCCTCAAACTTTGGGCAAACTACAAATATATTTAATATACTTTACATGTATTGTGTTCTACTGCATTAGATTGAGCTTTTAAATAAAAAAAGAATAATTAAACTTTTTAAATAATGCACTGCATAAAAATACATTTGATTTCCTTTCCGTTTTTTTTTTACTCTTTCACAACCCTGATGATGACTCATGAGCCTGAAGCTTGAACCCAATACATATTTTGGCTTTTTTAAATTTTTTTTAAACCTGCATCTACAACAGCCATATTTGTTGGTTTGTTGTTTTGGTTTAACATATCAACCACCATAGGTTATTTAATGCCAAAATTCAAATATTTCATATGCAATTTTATTTTTGAGGAGATAATAATGGTTTTAGTAATACAATTCTTACTAATTAACCCATAACTGGGGGGGGGGAGAAGATGTGAATTC